ATTATTATTATTATTATTATTATTATTACAATTATTGTTATTATTACTATTATTATTATTGATTACCAAGAGAGACTTTTGTAAAATTATTTTCTGATTTAAATATATCAAAACGTTTACCATGAATCTCTTATTCTGTTACTCTTGTTGGAGCATTAATAAAAAAGTTTGTTATATTTTTCTTTAGAACTTCATGTATTTGTAGAAACTATTCTGTAAATGTATTAGCTGAACTTTAATATTGCTAAGCATAAATTTTCCCATTTGCAGCACTTTCAGTTGATTAAGGAAGTAATTGGGTTGAACTTTTCTTGACTGTAAACGAGTACTTATCAGAATTAGGCTTGAATAACTCAATTTCAGCAAGAACTTTACTAAAATTTTCTTTGGAGGGTTCTGACTCAAATTTTTTTAAGATTAAACTTTGACTTTATCTTAAGGTATCAGAAGTATTTATTTATTGTATTGAGCTCTTGGCACTAAATCATAACAGATGTTTATACTCAAGTATAGCTGATTTTGTTTTATTGAATATTTCATTAATTAATTTTTGAGACTATTCTAACGTGGCTTCTATTTATTCAAAGTGAAGAATTAGACTACAAAAATAAAATAATTAAGTACTCATTGTATATTAATTTTGAAGTATCTAAATTTGTCTAATTTAGTTGATTTTGAAATTATTTTAAGAAACTCTTTAATGCAATATGTTTGCATTTTGAATGCTCCTCTAAGCAATTACAACATAGTAATTGTCGATTAGTACATTTCTCATCTATACACACAATATTAAGGTATTCATCATCATGATCTGGCAAATTACAAATTGAATAATTATGAAGACTCATATTAATTATTATTATTTTTTTATTTTTATTACATATTTTTGGCAATTATGAAATAAAAAATTCACATGAAAAATGAAAAAAAATAAATTAAAATTTTATCAAACTTTAGTCTCAATCCTCTTCTTTCTTTGTAAATCTCCCTAATATATATTATTTTTAAATTTCTATTTTTGAAAATTGATATCATTTGTATTTCCATAATTACGAGCAGAAGAAATCAATTTAATTTCAGGAAGAGGACAAGCTACTTTCAAAGATATTAATTTTCTTTAAGTCTAAGGAGAATTACTTTATAATTAACTGTTCATCTCAGTAAGACTTTGACAAGACATATAACTTAAAAAAGGATTGCTATTTCCTAATTCTTTTTATGATTAGTGTTTCTCTGTTTTTTGATTCACATAACTCTAAATTGAAGCAAAAGGCTTCTTACATTTTCGAGATACATTTAAAACTACTTTCTAAAGTTCAGGTTCAATAATTGATTATGGAATCTTAGTTTTTTTCACTTCCTAAGATTATAGAAGTGCAAGTTCATCAATTGGCTATTGAGATTATTACAGCATTAATAATTAAATTTCACTGTTCCTTTGATTATTGATACTATTCTAATTGCCAATATTACGAAGTGTTGTCTGATGTTTAATTAAGATACTCGACATACGTTTGAATATAGTTTTCTTTCTTTCCTTAGTCTTCTAAATCTCATTTAATAGTATTTGCTATTATTAAACACAAGTCTTTGGATAAAGACAATCAAGATGCATCTAATTGATATAATAGAAATGAATACTTATTTTTCAGACAATTATTCAATACCACTCTTTCGTCTTTATTATTATCTTGTATGATGAACAACTTTTAGATCAAAGCTTTTACTTAATCTATTTTATTAATCCTCTTGAGTTCTTATTCTTAAGCTTCTTAGTATTCTTATTCGATTGATAGGAGACTCATTTTTTGTAATAGAACCAAAGAGACAAAGCTAATTTTTATTTGAGAGCAAATCAATAACTAACTCATTTGAAATTCTTACTTTAAGTGGCATAATTTTTAGAAAGTGTTTTATTTAAGGCTCTCTTACTTCTGCCTGAAGTTTTAATTGAAGATTCCATAAATATAATACTTAAAATAATAATTGTTCGAATTAAGTAATGATAGCTATATGTTTACATTTTGTATTATAATTTTACTAATTTATAATAGAGAATCTTTGATAATAGCAATAATAATAATCAAAATTAATGAGTCTTCAAGGTTTAATTAAGACAGGAGTTCTGATTGGAAATGTAGCTCTTTTAACAGGAGGATATGTACTTGTAAAAATGCTCTACAATAATTATCTAAATTTCAAGAAGGAAGCAAAAAGATTAGAAAAAGGCGGATAATCTAATTATTAATATTTAGTTGATGCTTTTAATAAAGAAGGTAAAGTTGGGGAAGTAGTGCAGATTAATAACTTATCTTTCATTGGAACTTCTGAGTATAATTTAACTTTAATCTTAGGCCTATTGCACCAACTACTTTTGTGCATTCAAAAATCAATAATATAGAGAAATATATTTGTATAAAAGGTGTATTACATGAATACAACAGAGATATAATTCAAACTTAATGGATCAAGGCATTCAATTTGAAAGATGAAAATAATCATTAAGTTACCATACTTGTAAATAACAAAGAATCTTTTATGCCTTCATTATTTAAACGTGTATATGAACCCAAGGATGATTAAACATAAGGTTAGCTAGTTAAAGAAGCTTTTAGTGTTAAAGTTACAGAGACCGGAATAGCAGTATATTTTATTGTTATTGAAATAGTTTGGATCAAATTTGTATGTATTTGGGAGTTTCATAAAAAATAAATTAGGATAAATCTAATGTGTGGAATCTAAATTGATATGTAATGCAAGTGATGCAAAATCTTAAACCTCAATATAATCTTATATATTTTGGGTGGGAGCAGCTTGTGTAGTAACTTGTTGTTTATTAATTTCTGGGATTACTCTCTATTTAACTTTTTCAGATTCAGATGAGAAGAAGAATAAATAACAAAGTGCAATAAGGAGATGATTTATATATAAAAAAATAGATAAATAATTTAATATTTTTAATGTATAAAATTCAATTATTTAATTCTGAATTTGTCGAATTAAAAAGAATTGACAAATCCAACTCTACTTTAGATCTCCCTTTAATGATAACAATCTTTGTTAAATTATTAAGTTTGATTTACTTTGTTAGAGGATGATAATAGAAGTTTTCAACCTCTCTTTACTTAGTTTAAATTTCTAATTGAGAAATCTTGAAAAGTAGTTTATTGATTTCTTTATTGTTCCAATCAGAGGATATACTATATTTGGTTCCTTGAATTTATCTTGAATCTAGAATAGATTAAGTACATAAATACCAATGCTATTTGAATTAGATATTAATTTTTTAAATCTATGTTTTAAAGAAAATTCAGTTCGTTTTTTATTATTTGTCAGAGGTGATAATCGAATAGACAACTCTGCCCATTTTCTTCCATGTTATAAAAGAAGCTACAGAAGATGTAGATCTTCAATATCTGTCCATTCATCACTATATTATGAAATTTAAATTATACCGATTTATAGATGGATCTAACTTATTTCCCCAACGTTCTCTACATTACTTTGGTGTACGAATATTCTTATTTAGACTTTGTTCATTTAGTTCTCGTGCTATTTTACTCCATTTGTTTCCCTTTCTCATACTTTAGTAATGCCTAAAATAACTATTATTGATTACAATATAATATCTAATAGTTATTTATCCTCAGACTCAGACCATGGATTGTTGTATGCCGATTAATGTATAAATTGATGACAAATTTAAGACCATTCAAATGGAGATTTATGGGTTGGCATTAGTTCACTAATATGAATCCATTATTATTCATTCTATAACTTATTACTTTAAAATTACTAATTTTAAGTCTATGGGAGCTCTCATATTCAAGAGAATGCATTATAATAAGATCATCTCTTTGCTTTCACAGTCTTCAATAGATTAACCTTATAATTCATAGTAAATAGATTCTAAATTTTTGGGACTAGGGACATTAGTAAAAAGTAGCCTCCATTTTTGCTTGTATGGTTTTAAATCAATGGATTGGATTTGCACAAAGTTTAATTTGGAATTTAAGGAATGAGATGTTTCATCTGTCAATTGTTAAGAAGATTGAATATGAAGGAAGCTCATATTCTAAATATAATTTCAATAATCAAATTTATCGCTTTGTAATTGCGAGAATATAAAACCCAGAAATATGTATATCTTTCTAAATTTTGAATCCATTTTATATAATAAATAATTTATTGCTTAGATATCACAATTAAATTAAACTACCATTTTTAATTATGGCTAAGCAATACTCTTGTTCAGAACTCAAAAATTCACAAAAAGAATATTTTTAAGTCTGACTCTTTTTAGTTTTCTCTTAAAGAACTTCTATTTTATATAGAATCATGTTAGCTTCCTAAATATTCCAATATGGACTAATTTTGATATCATTTATCTTTTTAGGTCTCTAACCTTGCAAACTTATAAAATTACATACCATAATATTTTTTAAGTTGTTTAAATTTGTGTTTCAAAACAAATTCAGTTCTTCTTCTTTATTTAGTAATCATAGATAATTTTATAGATATTTCAACCCATTTACGTCCATTCTGAAGTAGCAATTATAGAAAGTTTAACTCTTCAGACTTTGACCATGGTTATCTGTAAAATATTATCATTACAATTACCTATTAATTTGTGGATCTAATTTATTATTCCATCGTTCACGACATTATTTTGCATTTCTTAATATTCCAGACTTACAAATACAATTATATTAATAAGCGATAGTACTCCATTTCCTTTTACAGCGACTTGGATTGTCTCTATTATAAATTAGACAAATATTACAAAATGATTTATAACAAAGTTTATTCTTCAAACGTTGACCAAGGTTGTCTTGGAAGAAAGGCCTTATAGAAAGATTAGAATTTAAAGCATAATTCTGATAGACTCCTGTATTTAGGCATTAACTTTTACACTTTCTCCCAATCGAATCGATTCTAAATTTTAATCATAAGTACCTTAATACATTTTGGATTGAGACTCAAAACTATAAATTATAATAAAATTTCCTCATTTAGATTCCAAGAATCATCTGATTCAAATTTAGAAGACTCATAAAGTTTAATAAAGTCATTAAAGTCGGGTAGATTGTTGAAATGTAATTTGAGCTTTGAAGATAATTACTCTAGTTTGATTTGTTAGAGATTCGAATAAATTAAAGCCCAATCATTAAGATCTGTAAAGGAGCTTTGTGAAGAATTCATTTTCTATTTTTATAAGATTAATATTGTTTATCTAAATTCTTGAACAGCATTTAAAGTCATAAATTAAATCAAATTAGGAGATATTATCTGCAATATTTATGAAATAAGACTCACTTAATAATTATTATATATGACTTAATAATTTCTATTGTTCTTAAATCATATAAATTTGACATTAAATAAAAAAATTATAAAGAAAATATCAAAAATATAATTTTTGAGTTATAACAATAGAGTAAAGAAATTTAATCCATATTTTTAAATTATTTAAATAATATTCTTCATTCAAAATTAATAATAACATTATTCCAATGGATTATCATTATCTAAGGTCTTAATGAATCTCCCATCTTTAATAATCACTTAGTATTTGTTTAATAACTAATTAAATTATGTCATCATAGAAGTGTTTATAAATGAATTTATATTAATTTTAATGTAAAATAATAATAATAACCAGTCAATATTTAATATTTGCTGATATATTTAATTAGAGATTATCCAACTATCTGAAATATAAACATATAATCTAATATGTGCTTATATCTTAATTAATTGAAGATTGACCATTATTTTTATATTTCAGTTTGAATAATGTTATTGCCATTAAATTAATAATAATAATAATTATTATTATTATTATAATATAAATAAATATATATATATAAAATTATATATTATCTGAAATTCATTTGTATTTATAAAAATTATATTATTTCTTAAATTCTAAATTAATTTAGACAATAATATTATCATTTTTGATAGATTCTTAATTATTATATGATAAAATTCTAAATGGATATTTCTCATTAATTTCCATTTAATAATAATAAAGAGTATTATAATATATAATTCTGTTTTAAATTAAAAATTAATAATCTTTTTTATAATATGACTACATGCATAGGTCCCAAAATAAAGTTTGAATTACTCCAATAGAAAATAGATACATTTAGTTAAACCTATGACTAAGATTAATTAGATTCCATGTAGTAGCAAGGTGAGAGAAAGGTGAGTTTTGCAGATTCTTCTATTGTATTTCTGCATTACTCAGATGAAGAAGTATTCAATTTCAGATAGAGACTAAAAGCTCAACTACTCTATAAGCAAATTGAACCTTTATTTTTAAATCCTTCATTATGTTACTCAAATTTATAAAATAAAAGGAAATCATGTTTCAAAGATGTTAATATTCAAATAGATTGATTACTTTTATATATTCTTTATGATAATATCAAAACTTCAGTAATTATTATAATTTAATTAGTAAATGATCATTAGATTAACTTCTCTTTGATCAAATTAAATTTTACAGACAGACGATTACATTTACTCAATACTTTTTCTTAAAGGATCAATTCCCATTAATTCAGCCACCTAATTAGATAATTAATATTTTATACTATAAAATTAATTGATAAAATCCTGAATCTCTACTAGAGACATCTTCTTACATTCTTGAACATACAGATTAATTTATTTTATCAATTAGAGGTTCAAATATGATTTCAGCATAATCTTGAATGTATTCAAAATAAAAAAGAATTCTCTAAATAATATCAAAATTAGATGTTTAATCTATATTTGATATATAACTAATAATTTTTGGTATTACTTATTTTTCTAGAATTTGATTCCATTAATTTTGATAAACTATAGAAAAAGGGGATAGTATACTTAAACCGAAATCAGGTTAATTGTCTAGATCAATATTAAATAATTTTTAAATCAATTAATCTGAAAGTTCTTGGTTGTTAAACTATGAATAAATCCAAGGAAGTATAACTTTATGTAGTTAAAATGAATCATTTGTACTCCAATTAGATATTGTTTATAATAATTTAGGAATAAGGAGATTAATAATGTTTTAAATAGTTATTGCATTTAACAATTTAAGTTTTTCCAATTTTTAACTTTGTATTTCTTCAATTTCTATTGATGATATATCAATAGTCCATAATTTAAGCATTTCTAATAATAAATTATCTTAACATGGATCATATTTTTAACATATATAATTTATTAATTTTGATATGATTGGATTAATGAGTATATCAATAATAGTTTATAGATTTTGGAAATCTTTTGATGAGATTAAGTTATCAATAATAAGAATTTCAGAATGTTAATGATTTGAAGTAGTAGTTAATGATTTTTATTAAATGAAAACATCTTTTACTAAATTTACAATTTTATTAATGAATTTAAATTCATTTTCTAATATATCTATTTATGGTCCTTCCCAATTTTAAATCTTTTTTATAATTTCTTCTATTCCTTATTTAATTAATACATCAATCAAATTAAATTAAATGAATAAATCAGGATGTTTAATAAAGCATTCTAAAAATTTTTCATATAAAGGAAAAGGTTCATTAGATATTTAGACTTCATCATCTTAAAAAAAGAGAAGATATTTTTAAAATGATTCTTTTTTTCTTATGGTTTCTTTTTGCTTTTCTAAATTATTAATTGCTCTTTCCTTTTCAATTTCTAATTTATTTTTTTAATTTCTTTTTTATTCAAATAATTATTCATCAATTTCATATTTACTTAATTTAGTATATAATAAATGTTAGACTGATTAAGTCAATTCTTTTACTTCATTCAAATATTCTTAAATAATGTTATCTTTAGAATTTATTTAATTGAATTATGATAAGTTTAATTAATTATCATTTTAATTTCTTTTTCTCCATATTTTATCTACTTTTTTTATATTCTTAGTTTCATTTGGATTATCATATAACCATACCTAATCTTCTTCATTATTTTTATTTTTATTTAATTAAATTCCTGTAAATACTTACTTTTTAACAGGAATTACAGGTTCTAAAATTCCTTATCTATTTATTCCTAAACCTTCACCATATTTAAATCCTAATTTTTAAAGTAATTCTAATCCTACACCATAATCATGTTCTTTAACCTTCTTTTCTAAATTTCTTATTTCTTTATAACTTAATCCTTTATTTTAATAATAATCTTCCTCATCATCTGTTTCATGTTTAAATTCCTTAGGCTATTTCTTTAAAATACTTTTTGGTTATTAGGTTAATTCTTTGACTACTACTTCAATAATAGAATGTTAATCCTCAACATCATCATCATCTTCTTCTGAAGTAGAATCAAATCTATTTTGCATTGCATATTGTTAAATACTTCTCTATAAATTAAATTTCTCATTTAATGTTAAATATTCACTAGGATGCTTCACTATTAAATGAAGATAATTATTTTGAAGATTAAATTGAACTTATTTAACTTTACTTAATTAATTGTTATCTTAATTTTATTCTTAAATATTATGGTTGATCATTTTAATTGTAACACCCTTATCTCCTTAAGAAAATAGTGGAACATGATATTTTATAAAATTACTAAATGCTTAGTTTTTACGATATTCTTTATGAATGTCTTTCAATTTAATAGATGGATCTTCTTCTTCTTATTAAAAGTTTATTTATTATTGATTATGAATTTCATTTTATTTCATCAATTCTTATTACTAATTATCAATTTCCAATAATGAACGATGCTCATAATTCATTTATATAAAATAATTATAATAAATAATAATAATATATATAGTCTAATAAATTAGTTATGTAATTTAATTATCTATGTTAATTCATTCCAATATTTTGATAATATTAGAATATGCATATTTTGTTATTATAATAGTTAAAAATTAATTTAAATGTTTTATTATTAATAAGTTGTTAATTAATTTAAATTATGAAGAGAAAACTTTACAAATTGTCATTGTTTAAAGAGATAGATGAATTTAATCAAAAAGATAGTGATGGACATTAAAGTGATGATTCTTCTACATCTAATGAATTTTTGAATACTACATTTGAAGCATATGGTAATAAATTTGATTATTAGATTTAGAGTCTCAAATATTTATAAGTAGTAATCAAACACCTATACATTCTGAATAATTATAATTTATATAAGGAGTATTTGATAAATCAGAAGAAAGTGAATAATCATTTGATTTCAATATTACTAATGTAAGTAATTATATTATAAATTATAGATAGAATGTGATAATAGAACAACATTAATGATGAGAAATATTCCTTAAAATTATACAAAAGAAATGTTGATGATGGAAATTGATCCAAAATTCAAAAATAAATTTGATTATCTAAATTTCCCATTTGATGGAATTGTTAATCCTGGTTATGCATTTATCAATCTTAAATCAAAGTCTTATCTTAAAGACTTTTATAATTATTTTAATGGTAGAAAATGGAAGACTAATAATCCATAAAATAAAGTAATTAAATTTTTGTATTTTAGCCTTGTTATTTAAAATATGCTAAAATATAACATAAGAAATTTAAACAAATAAATCCATAGATATATTTACAATAAAGCAGTGTTATCAAACTTATTTAAAGTTAGAAATAATAATGCAATTTGTGAATCATATATAAATATACTTTTTCTCATAACTATTTCTATATATATTAATATATAAACATAATTATTAAATTTATGATAACAGAGAAATCTACCCTTGTATTTTCAGAGAAAAATAGTATTTTTGAATTTCATACCAGTTCACCAATAGCCAATCACAGGTATTAGTGCATCCAAACAAAATGATAACCTTTTCCTTACCATATCCGAAGATTCAACTATGAGATTATATGATCTAAGATTGTAATCATCTGTTAAATTATTCAATCTTGGTAAAGTAGAAGAATCATAAACTGCCAATTGTTTATTATCAGATACTCAAGTTTATGGTGCTAGGAATAATGAAGTAATAAATAAATATTATTCAGATTTTATTATTTGACATAAGATAAGACATTATAGTTAAAGCTTGTACATTAAAATTTGAAAATGATAGTGAAATAAACTAAATAACTTTTGATAATCAATAATAATTAATTTCTGCAAATTTTGACTCGTATTATTATACTTCTCTATTATTAGTGGTTGTACATCTATATTTGATAGATAACTCAATCTTAGATCCAATCTCAAAGAAGGACATGAAAATGTATTTATTACTTATAATATTCAGACTTGTTTTAGTGGAGATTTCATTCAAGATGAAGGAGAATAACTATATATATCTACAGGATTTGACTATAAAATTATTCTATGGGATTATTAATATAAACACTAGATTGAAGATCAACCATTAATCTAATAAGCATCATAAGCTAAAATACTATTCAAATTTGATTTAAGTATCATTATATATTTTAATTCAAGGTACAATTCATTTATAATATGCACCTTTAACTGTTTCACCTCCTGTAATATATTCTGCAACTTCTAAAGATAATTCTATTCTGATATCGACTGAAACTGGATAAGTCTATTGTTTCAAAGTATAATAATTGAAAAGAAAGAAAAATAAAAAACCTCCAATTCCTGAATTTGTCATTGATGCTCATAAAAGTAAAGTGATGAGAAGCACTTATTTAAATGATAAAATAGTTACTATTTCAAATGATTAAACATTTGCTATATGGGATAAATAAGTTTAAGTGTTAAGAGCAAAAATAAAAAATAAACCTAATTGGATAGAGAGTGTAGGAAATAACACTTTGCTTGTCAGTGACATTTCTAATAAATTATCAATATTTGAAATTGTTTGAAAATGGGTTTTTATATTTTTGAATGATTAGATACTCAATTTAATTGAAGTCTTTCTCTTAAATATTCTTTAAGAGTTACTATCTTATCCTAAATGTGATCTGATATTCTTGAAATTAAATCTTAAGTCGAAACTCTTGATTAAGTTTCCATCTAATAAATGTCTTATTATTATCTACACCATTAATCTTATCCTTCCAAATTACTCTTATATTATTTTAATTATTTATTACTTAATTTCTTTCAACCTCAGCTGCATGATACTCAACCTTTCCTTCTGATTCTTCAATAATACTCTAATAATTCAAAATAGCTTATTCCAAATTTTATCTTTGATCTGATCTATTAAAAGTATAAATAATAAACATTTACAATGTATTTTTTTCATTTGTTAAATCTGATAAGAATTATTACCAATTAAGACTTTATTATTTCTCAATTGATTCATCATTTCCTTTACTTTCAACAATTTAAACTCTTAAATTGGCCAACAACTATAACACTTTCTTTGCAGTGTCTGAATCAGATTTTGATGATAATTAGGTCATCATTGTAAGAATTGGCTAGAATAATAATCCAGTTGATTAACTAATAGATTGAAATAGAACTTTACTTCTATAATCTCTACAATACTTTGTTAAACCTTCCCTTAACTTATATGAATGATGAACCACTTGATAAATGTTCAATTAGAGCATATGCTTCATCAATTGCAGCTATGGCTTCTGTATGATCTTTGATCTTTGATTAAAATTCAGCATATTATAAATCTCTTTCGCTCTATCCTGCATTTGTTTTCTTAGTATTCTCTTCAATTTCAACTGAGACTTCTGCAATCTTATTTAAAGATCTTTAGAGATTATTTGTGTTTTCCTAATTTATAAATAAAAGAATAACCTCAACTATTTTCTGATGAGCTTTCAATTAACTCTAATGATAAGCTAAATTTGTTGAAAAATCATGTAATAATCTATTGCATGATGCTTATGTGCTTTAGATATAAAGATCAGCATCCTTTTATTCTTATTCCAACATAAATCTACAATCAAGGTTATTATATACCTTATATTGTTTATATAGCTCTAAATCTCATGTACAGGTGAACCTGTTGCCAAACTAATTTGGATTGCATTCAAGAATGTTTTCCCCATATGATGATCATCAATTTCTGCTAACACAATCTTTGGATCTGTGCCCATTTTACATAATGCCTAACATCGTATATCAATACTACCATGCTCAATAGAACTAAAATCACAATTCTCATTTTTATATTATTATTAAAAACGAATACAAATTATAATTCTAATCTTTTATCTTATGTTAAAATACTATAAACTCAATGTAAAATATAATTGATACCTCATATCAATATCAAATATCTCATTAACGCTATACTAGTATGTCAATTATACATATTTTTATTATTTTCTAGTTTTAATTTATTAAACTGTTATCTAAGTAATAAAATACAATTTGATATTCAAATTTTTAAAGATGTTAAATTAAATTGAAATATTTAAATTCAAATTCATGTAAATAATATTAATGAAATATAATACTTAAGTAAAGTGTTTGAGAATATTTTTCTTATTTATTATCATTTTTATATTATATATCTTATATTAGTCTTTATTATAATTATCATATAAAAATTGATGATTTCTTCATAATATTAGTAATAAGAACATAATCTATTTAGATATTAACACACTAGATTATTATTTATTAGTATAATGTTTCATTCTATTCTATATGATTAAAAGATAGATATTTCAATATAATAATATATTTGACTATCAGGAATAGACAATAATATATTTATTATGAATAACTACACTGTTTTGAGATGTTTGCTATTTTAGATGATAGTTTATTAAAGTTTGATGAAACATTACTGCATTTTTATTGAATTATAGACATTGTATTTTTTAATTTGTTGGAATATTTACAATATTATAATAATCCGTTTTAATGAGAACAGTGATTCTGATAGTTATTCTGATATGTATTGCTCAATCAGCATAAAATTTGAGACAAAAGAAGATCCATATTTTGAATGGATAAAAATTAGCTTTGATTGAAAAATAAGTGTAATACATTGATGATGATGTTTAATTGAATTAGGAATAAGATATTTAATAAGAAGGATTCTAATAAATCAATGTTCATGAATAATAATAAGTTCAAATAGAGGAAGAAGCAGTAATATAAATTGATGAAGAACAAACATTAACAGCAGAATAAATGGAAGAATTAGACAGAAAAGAATAAGAAGAATATGAAAGATTGAAGAGATAAAGACTTGAAGAATAACATTTAAATGATGAAGATTCTTATATGTAAAGTTAAGAGAATGAAAGAAAATCAAATAATTAATATGAAGCATAAAGTGAAATGCCTGTTGATGTAGTTGAACATTAATTAACTCCAGTAATTTAAAAGGATCCAATCCCTGATTAAAAGGGAGTTGTTTCTCCATTTGCTCCAGCTGATAACAGTTTACCTTATTCATCATATGATAGTGAAAGTGGATTTGAAGTAAAGGAAAGTGATATTAAAATGTAAGGATCAATCAATCCTAACGATTTGGATTAATATTTACAAGAGTAATATAGAAAAGAGATGGAACAATTTGCAAATTTCCACATTTGAAAATATAAAATAATTATAAAAATAATAATAATTCAATCTGAATCATCACTAAATGGACAATCTATATGATATACATGATTAGAATTTTAATCCTTAGTAACTTAAATTTCTTTTTTGTATGTTGAAATATCAATAGATTTAAATTTCTTAAGATCTTCAGAAATTTTGGAAACTGATGAATTTTTTAAAGAATGACGTTTCCAAATTTCTCCTGCTCCAAATAGAAAACATATTTATTTTATTTTTTTGGCACTTAATTCAGAATCATTATTTATTTTTTGATTTAAAAATCTTGCCATATTTTTTTCTAAAGTATCTCTTGGAATCTCTGATTTATTTTAAACATTTTTAATCCAAGGATGATCTAGAGCTTATTCAGGTGTTAATCTATGAAGTGGATCTAATTATAATAAATTTTATATTAAATCTTTTGCTTATGATGAAATTTAATCCCAAATTGGACCAATCATTTAGTATTTACATTTCTAAATTTAATCAATAAGATCATTAAGATATTCTGAATTAAATGGTAATTCACCACTTAACATTACATACAATATTACACCTGCACTCCATAAATCAACTTATTCACTGATTAAAAAATATAATTTACTTGTACAAACCACCTGAAAATATTTCAGGAGCTGAAAATGCAACAGTACCTGTGTATGTCCACATTTCAATTTTACCATGATCATCTAAATTAGTGAATTCTTTATAGCCATCAGTAAATTTTGAAACCTAATTTATTAAATTTTTATATACATTAAAGTCTGTAATCTTAATTGATGTGCCATCCTCTGTACATAAAATATTATTTGGTTTTAAATCTCTATGACAACAATAATTATCATGCATATATTTTATAGAAACTAATATTTACTCAAATAAAATTCTTGCAGTCCATTCTAATCATTTATATCATAATATACCACTATAATTCTTTTACTTTTGTATTACATCAAACATTTCCTTACCTTTTACCTTTTCCATTATTACTAAAACTGTTCCTGTGCTTTAGAAACCTTCATTCCATTATATGAATAGTTCCTTCATTGCAACAATATGAGGATGGCTTAATTTTTTAAGATTCTTGAATTCTAAAATCATCTATCATATAAATATTCAAAATAACATTTTTAACAATCTCCTCAGAATCTGTCTTTACAATTTTACATGCAAATTCACAACCATCTTATTTTCTTGTAACACTTCTTACTAATCCAATACATCCTTCTCCCAATATTTCGCCATCAATATAATTTTCATGAAACAAGCTCATATCAAATTTTATATATTTAAGATCTTCCTCTTCTAATTCAACATTTATTCTAATTAAAAACTCTTAAATCTATTTATCTTAATTCTTATTCTCATTTTTATTAATCAATTAGAGCATTTATCCTATAAATATAAACTCATTTTACCTTTGAACCTATTTTTTAATTATTGTAAAGCACTAGAATTTTCATTTGTAGGAGCACGAGAGAATGAAAATTTACTCTTTCTTTTCTAATTTTATATATCCATTATTAAATTACTATGTTTGTTTTAAATTACTACTGTAGTAATTTATAAATCAAGCGAATTAGAAACATTTAGTTTTATTTTCTATCTATATTAACTAAACACTATAGACTTTCACCAATATATATATATTAATGAGAAAGAGATTCCAAAGAATAAAACTCAAATATTAATAAAATTAAAGCTTTAACATCAAGTCATTTACTTTTTCTATTAATATTTAAAGTGAAAGAACATGTTTCTAATTTATTAAAGTGAGTATAGAATGTATAAAGAAAATTGCTATTATCAGAATTAGAAACATTTGAAATTTAAATGAATTATTGATTAAAATTTTTTTAATTATAATTTCAACAAAATAAATTATGTCTGGGTATGACATTAGTCGATTTCAGCCTTAACCTCAATAACATTTGATGTGCTTGGTTTGCAATAAAGTGGTTAAAGATCCATTAGAATGCAATTTTTGTGGTTAAATGTACTGCAATGATTGTGTGGCAACAAAACCTCCATGCAAAAGCAAAGATTGTTGTTATCCACCAAATTCTTCAGAAAATATTCCATAATATGTTAAAATTTAAGGAGCAATGCTTAAAGTATATAAGAACTTGCAATTATATTGCTTAAATCCTGAATGCAAAAAATTATGCTCAATTATTGATATTGAATAACATCAAAATTAATGTATAAGAGTTAAATGTTTAAATCATGATAATTGTAAAGAATATTTATCAACTGAGGAAAACAAGTATTTTTATTAATCATTTTTAGGTAAACATCATTTTGCAGCTTATTATGTGAGCTGACAGTACAATTGTTTGAAAATGCATCAGATCATAAAAAATAATATGAAATTATCAAAAAATTTTAACCAAAGTTATCAGGATCTTAATCAGGATCAATCAATCTATCCAACAATAAGTCAATTCAAATAATTTAAATACAACCTAGTATGAATATTGAGGGAGGTCTTAATTTTAAATGGGATAAAAATAAATGTGGATCAGGTATTTTATTGACAAGCGGAGATACTTGTGTCTTTCTTAAAGAAAGCTCATATATTTTCAGAACAGTCTTGGGAGATCAAGTAATTATAAAATTAAATATATTTAGGGATTTGAAAATGGTGTTCATTATTGGGAAATTGAAGCAGATAGCAGAACAGAAAATGAATTAAAAATTGGAGTTTGTTAAGGAAATAATATTAACTTGAATGCTGCATTTTGTGATTTAAATTAGGGCTTTGCTTATTATGGATTAGCATAATTAAGAAATGGAAGCAATGCATCAGGATAAACTTATGGAAAAAGATTCAAAAAAGAAGGGGTTCTTGGAGTTTGTTTAAACATGATTAATGGTACTCTTAATTATAATTATTTTAGGTACACTCTCTTTCTCATTAAATGGTGAATTTATGGGCATAGCATTTAGATCAGAATTACTTAAAAAAGGACCAATTTATGCTGCAGTAGCATTACTGCATTGTGCTGGCTGCACTCTTAAAACTGGAAAACCAAAACCTTCCTATATGGAATGATGTTTATTTAACTAAATTTTAATAAGCCATCTTTAATAGAATAATTAAATTTAATTCATGCTTTACAATTCAAACAACCAGTCAAATTTTATTCTCGTGCCTCTTAAATTGTTATCATCATAGTTTAATATTTTTAAACATTTTCACAATTTATAAGATGATACTTGGTACCATTTCTTGTTCTAAATACCATGCCTTCAGGAATAACTTATAGAGTTTAAAATTAATATTATTATTATTTTTATTATTATTATTATTATTATTATTATTATTATTATTATTATTACTATTACTATTACTATTACTATTATTAGCTTTGAATTAATTATGAAAAACCAGAATTTATTTGCTGTTGTATAGTTTAATTTTTATCTAATTCTTCCAATTTCTTACGCTAATTCTTTTTTATTTTTTAAGTTTCTTAAATTTTTTGTTCAGTCATTTCTACAACTTAATTTGCTGCTTCTTATGCAGCTTATAATTGTTTTTGCAAGTCAATAAATTTCTTTCCCAAGTGAAGAATTTAAGTGTTTTAATTATTATTGTTCTTTGAAATATCACTTTACTATTACGTTAATGCTCTCTCAAAAATCTAAAACCTTTATTCAAGATTTATTATTTTCTACCAAATTTAATCTAACTTATCCTTTAAGAAGGCTTCAACAGCTTCTTTAATTTCTTCTTTAGTCATTTAATTTTTCTGTATTAATTTTAATTATTAAAATTTCATTTGATAATTATTTTTGTAGCATTAAAATATTCATAATATAATTTATAGAATAGAATTCTAAATTATTGCAAAATAAATATAATATTAGATAATATTAGTATCATAAACACTCATTAATAAAAATTATACTTTTTAAATAGTGTTTAAATATTATCTTTTGAGAGGAATTTTTGCACGGAATAAATTATTATTAACTTAGTTAAAAAATATATAAAACAATATAAATTGTTTCAATACTTCTTTTTGAAAAGATATCATAAAGTTTACTACATTTAATTTAGATATAAATTAACAACTATTGATTTGATGACAAAAGAATTAATTATATTCATTGATAACATTTTAGATTAAAAACATCAATATGTAATTTTGTATAAAATAATAAAATGAATAAAATAATATTGTCAATTTTGTATACTTCTCTGCTGATTGCTTACATAGTGATAGATATTGCTTTTAATGATGAACTTTGGGATGTTAGCAAATCGTTTGCGCTATCAATGCAAAAATCTATTCCTGTTTTTGAATAGTTAGTTTATGAATTCTTCTCAGACATTGTTTTTATTCCACCAATAGCAGCATTTTATTGTTTCATATATGATGACAACAAATTAAACTCATTGCTTTATTTAAGTGTTGTTGTAACAAGTGTAACTACAAATGAGATTTTAAAGAACATTTATCATTAAGCAAGACCATATATGATTGAACCTGAGATTAAGAGGTACCAATATATTAAATTTTAGTTTAAAATGCAACTCAGATTATGGTAAACCTTCAGGGCACTCTCAAAACTCACTTGTGATGCTTATTCTTATGCCAGTGTTACTTTTCCCATCAATTAAACAACTAAGAAGAAATAAAGTCTAAGTTGAATTTTAAGAAAGTAAGTATCCATATAGATAAAATTAGATCTTGATAAAGGAGAATCCCATTCAGGGTACACAATATATAGTATCAAAACTTCCGAGATAAGAGTAACAATTATAAGAATATTTAGTTAAGAATAGTTAATAATAAGTAAATACGAATATTTAATCTAAATGTAAAATTGCTATGAAATTGATGCTTATTATATTCATCCTTCTTAGTATAGTGATGACTGGAATTTCTAGAATATTTCTTGGGGTTCATTCTTTAGGATAAGTGATTCTTGGATGGGTTTGGGGTATATACATAACTTTAATGTATATTTTCGTCATTCATGATCCATTAAAATAGTATTTATTAAGAAATTATAAATTTAGGTATATATTAAAGTTGCTAAATCCTCAAAGGAATAGATTAGAAGAAATCAATCATTTTATTCCAATGTCATTTTTCCTATTATTAATCCTGTTAGGATTATCTTTGGGATTGTTAAAATTGAATTCCTTAGTATATTATGATAAATAGGATATGAGTAAATGGATTGCAAGAATCAACGAATGTTAATCAACTCATTACACTAAGGATTCCCCATAAATATTATTTAATTCTTGTTTCCAGTTAACAGCAATTGGAGCTGTGATTACAGGATTATTGGTTGGAGCTATGTTAGCCTAGGGTTCTTATGAAGAAGGGCTCTTTAATAAGTGGAGGTAAAAGCTTCCAAAAATGTAGCATTTTAAGAGATTACTCTTATTATTACTTCCATATTTATTTTTGATACCATTCTTATTTATTCAATCAAATTCCGTAGTTATTCAGTTAATATGCAAAGTATTGATAAATATGATTTTTAGATACTTCCTCTATCTTTTGGAGCAGGATTTATTATCAATGGAGTCTTTCCAACTCTTTTAAGAAGATTTAATTTATAAATACCTGGAGATTTTCTATTTTTATGCCAGAGAAAATATTTACTTGGTGACTAAAGTTAAAATAGCTTGTATTAATAAATAAAAGAGTATAATGATTAATATTAACATACGCTTTGATTAATATAATTTAATTATAAATGGACGCTGAAATCACAATCTTTGATAAAATCGTATCTGGATAGATAAAAGCAAATATTGTTTATTAAGATGACCAAGTAAAATTAATCCATATTTAGTGCCTTGCTTTTCATGATGTCAATCCATAAGCTCCTGTGCATATTCTATTGATTCCAAAACAGCGAAATGGATTGACATAATTATCAAAAGCTCAAGAACACAATAAGGAAATCTTAGGCCATTTATTGTTTACTGTCACAAAGATTGTAGAATTAGTGGATGAATTAAAGAAAGGATTCAGAATTGTAATTAATGATGGTGAGAATGGAGGTTAGAGTGTTTGGCATCTTCATATTCATATAATTGGAGGAGAATAATTAACTTGGCCTCCAGGATCTAGTGGAAGCTAAAAGAAGTGACATAAAATAATAATAAAATTTTATATTTATTGGATTCAGAATCTTAACACTCTGTCTTGAACATATAACATTTCATATCTCGTATTGTAATCCATATCTCCTGATGGTTTGCATGCCAAATCCCAATATGATGTATTAAAAACCTATTCATTACATACTACTATATACTTAACAAGGATCTCCCAATAAAAATGTATTCCAAATTAAAATGTAAGCAAATAATACCCAACCACTTCGATACATTAAGTTCATAGCCATAACATGCATTTTATATGTATAACTGTGATCTTCTTCCATTCCAATACTATCACCTGCTTATCTCAAAACTAATGTTTTGAATAACCCTCTTTAACTTAAATAAAAAAATATACTATCTGCCAATTCCATGGTAATAACCAGTCTAATATGTAGCCAACAATTTTGGATCAAATCTATTAATATACTAATAATAAGCATGTTTGGAACAGGTTTTGTAAAATCTCTTGTCCATTAATTGTTATTTTTATTAATATATATAAAATTTATTAATTAATGATAGTGTATATTCAGAGATTATATTAAGTTTTAAGTGATTAAAACCTATCTCCAATTAGACATTTTTTTATTTTATTGCTTTAGCTACTCACTCTTGTTTGATTTAATTCTATTATTTAATCTTTTGATTAAATCATGATCATTTATTTCACTAATATTCTTTCCATTTTTAGTTTAATAAAAATTTTAAGACTTAATATTTTACAGAAAGAAATATTAAGCAAATTATTAATTAAATCAGCTTTGTCCAATATCCTCATATCATCAATAAATTGTTATGAAATTTTATTTAAATTAAACAAGTTAATTCAATAAATTAATATCATTTTATATTAATTTTATATCACTAATTTCAAGGTTAAGCCTTTTTTTTTTATATCAAAATAAATTATATAATTTAATCATCACACTACTTTCTGTATATAATTTCTATATCATAATTAATCACTATTTAAATTCAGACAATTCATACTGCAACAGAAACATATTGAATTTTTTTTAGATAATCTCATGTTTGCTCATATTTTAAATCTATATTCTTCCTTCAAATGTAGTAATTATATGGATTTAAAAGTGGTGGTGGACTCATTATAAATAATGATAATATTTTAGAAATCTTTAAAATAATATTTAATAATTTATTAATGTATATTTAAGTATCCTAATATAAAATCTATAAGCTTAAATTTAAATAGCCAAAATAAAGTTAATCATTCATTTAATATTAATTCATTAATATCATTTTCAAATTTAATTTATGATTTTTTAGAAAAAAAATTATTTCGCAAAATTGGTACTATATTTAATCTTTAAAACATTTATTTATTAATAAGAATTTGTAAAACTTAGCCTAATTCATTTATTATCACAATAAAATTGTAAATATTTACTTATTTGTTACATTAAACCTCCAAAAGAAACAAATAATTTTATTTAATCTAATTAATATAATAAAAAATATATTTAGAAATTCGAACATAAACTTTGGTTTGATTAATGTGAATGCAGTTTATAAGTTCTAAATTATTACTATAATAGATTTATATATTTAAATTTTTTTATATTTAATATTTTATAATTGATGCATATAATCTCATGCAATATTGAATAGGCAGATTATTGCAAATAGCCTTAGATTAATAATTCTGGAATAATCAGCTGTTTAAACATTCAAAGACTATTTACATAAACCTACTTGTTAATTTGGATCTTAACATGTCTAATCTTCATTACAATACTGGGACTTTTCTTATCCGCAATAACAATTTGATGACATGTTACTTGTACATTTTTAAACACAAACTCTTGATTGTGTTTCAAGATTTTAGCATTAAAAACCAGATTAGCAAATTAATTTCTGATCTACACCTTTTTCTGTACTTCCACAATAACAATTTGTTTCACCATTTTCTTTGCAAGTTGGTACACATATTCCAGTCACATCATTATAGACAGTATTAAATTAATCAAGGCATGCTTAGTTTTCAGATGATATCAAACAATTTTGATTATTTACAGAAGTACATTGTTACATACAAACACCTTTGGATTATAGTAAACAATATGTAGATGAAAAACATATGTCAATAGAATCTATTCCACATATACAATTATTTTAATTTTATTGACATTTTTCAAAACATATACCATTAAGTGCTCCAGAATCTAAGCAATATTAATTCTATTTGCAATATGCTTGATTAGTGGTACCACAAGTACAATTTGATTAAAATTATGATGTACAAATACCTAAATTACAAATTCCATTATCTGCATATGGATCAACACATTTTTCACCATTTGAACAAACCTATTTCACCTTATTTCCACATATACAATTTGATTATTAATAACTAGAACAGTATTCTAAACAAATTCCTTATTGTTTTGATGAACAATATGTTGTAGATGAACAATATGAATATAATGATGTTCCACAAACACAATTATTTTAGAATTAATTACATTATTATATACAAGTACCTGTAAGTTATTTAAAATCATGGCAATGTTCATTTACACTACAAAAAGGAGTTACTGAATTACCACATAAACAATTTGTTTATAAATTATTTTGACACTTTTCTATACAATTACCATTTTAATCATTAGGATTCTAACATACTTAAGTTTGAGAACAGGCTATTTTATTAATTGAACCACAAATAAAATTAGATTTTTAATTTTGATTACAATATTATAAGCAAACTCCTGTTGAATCACTTACATTAGTACAATAAGTAGATTCAGAACAAACAGAAATCTAAGTTGTTCCACATTAACAAGAATTATCAAAATTATTAATACAATTTGGTATTGTTATACATTAACCAGTACTTGCACTTGGATCTGCACATGTTTATTAATTAGAACAACCTTATTTTGTAACTGTTCCACAAATACAAGATGATCTAATACTATTTGTACAATCATCATAACATTGTCCAGAGCTAGCTGAAGGATTCAAACAATATTTAGAATTATTACAATTGCTAAATTGATTTTATCCACAAGAACAATTACTTTCAAAATTTGTAGTACATATATTCAAACAATTACCTGAAATAGCCATTTGATCTTCGCATCTCTGTGTTGAATTACAATATGATAGAGTTGTTGATCCACAGATGCAATCATTTGATGTTGAACCTTAGCATTTATTAACACAAATTCCATTTGCTGCACTTGGATCTTTGCAATAAGTATTGGAACTATTTTATTGAGGTTCCACAAGCACAATTACTTTAATTGATTGATGAACAATTTATAATTGCTACACATGCATCACTCTAGCATTATTTAGTTGAATCACAATAAGATTTACTTGAAGTTCCACATATACAATCAGATGTTGTCGATCCAGAACAAGCTTATTTACAAATTCCAGAGGAAGCACTTGGATCAACACAAAAAGTAGTTGAAGTACAGCTTTATTTTGTTGAGCTTCCACATGAACAGCTTGCTTCAAAAGCAGATCCACAATTTACAGCTAGAGTCACACATGAATCACTTTAACATTATTTAGTTGAATCACAATAAGATTTACTTGAAGATCCACAAATACAATCTGATAATGTTGATCCAGAACAAGTTTATTTGCATTATCCTGATGTAGCTGCAATATCTACACAATAAGTCGTGGAGTTGCATTCTACTGAATCTCCTCCGCATCGACATGAATTGGAATTTAAATTTGAAGTACATTTTTATTCACATACTCCGGCTGAAGCTGATATATCAACACAAACCTAGGTTGAACTACATACAACTATGGTAGACGTTCCACATATGCAATTTGATTTTTTTGAAGATGTACACATCTAAATTGTACATTTTGAATCAACCCATTCATAGGGTTAAACACATCTTGATTATGACCTAGATCGAATTGGATAGCAATCATCAAGACATCCAATATAGTTATTACAAGAGGAGCTATCTATTCCACCACAATTTATACACTATAAACTTGTGGAAAGACCACATCCTGATTGAATGCATGATGCAGTTGGTACACTGGGACAATATATACAAGCTAAATTATACCAACCACACATATCCATACAATCTCCTTCTGATCCCCAATCTGAACATTTATAGCAACTTGGACCTCCAGGCCACCAACCACAACCTGATTCTGCATCGCAAATAGTTGGATCAGTTGAACTACATTAAGCCATAGCTTATTATAGGGTCAAACAAAAAAGAACTAATGAAATCATAGAGGACTTTTAAAAATTCATATTAATGTTTTAAAAAAAAAAATTTGAAGATATGAAGAAGGGATTTTATTAATAGATATTATTTTTTCTGGATCTAGTAAAGTTATTCAAGAGATCAAAATTACTCAAAGTTAAGAAGGCTCAAATCAATAATATTTATTATTAGTATAAAATCAATTTAATCCTTTTTATAATATTAAATATTTCATATATTAATTTTGTGGATTATCAATTAAAATTTTTTTTTTAGATTTATCAGCCATTTGAATCTTAAATATTACCTAAACGCTATAAACTATCAAATCCTTCATTTATTCAAATCAATTTTTTTTGTGCTCAAATATGATTGATTTAAAAAGTAAAATTAGATATTAAATAAATTTAATATAAGTTTTTCCAAAATTTTTTTTTCCAATACTTTTTTACTCTTTCATTAAAGATCCTAAATTTTGTATTCCTCACCCTCTTTCTATGAGAATCTTTGTAAAATAGAAAATTTATCAAATCTTAATTTAAATTCTTCGATTAAAATATTCTTATATTATATATTCTTTCATTAATTGATTAAGTTCAGATTATCCTCTAGATGTTGAAAAAATTGAGAATATCATTTAAAAGTTATCCTTAAATCATAAAAATTCAAAAGTTCCTTTTAAGAACATTTCTATAATTGAGAAAAGCTCCCATTATATTCCATAATTTATAGATTTAGTTTCTAAATAAATAGATTGATTTAATTTACTAATTCTATTCATTCTAAGTAAACATGAAATTATTTTAACATTTAAGTATATCAATATAATTAATGTTTCTCAATAGAAATTGTATTGTAAAGTTATGTATTATTGTGCTAATACAAAGATGATACTTGCATTTGTACAAAAATACGATTAAATCTCAAATTATTGACTAATCGTCCTAGTATTTAATATTATAACATAATTAATTAAAGAAGACATTAAAATCACTAATTTAATTTAAGAAAAAAATATATTCTGAATAATTTTTAGTATAAACAATTAAATTCATCAAATGAAATAGACTCGCCTAAACTATTGACTGAATTTCAGAATGAATTAGAAGTTCTATTAATATAAGTGATAAATAAAAATTCTTGAAATCTTAAAATCTTATGGTAATTTAAAGAAACCCAAAATTAAGATATCCAGGATTAATTAGAATAAAATGTAAAAGTTGGAGAAGAAAATTTATTGTTCTTCATGTCCTAGCTATCAAATTTATTAATATCTTAATTAAAAGGCTCAAAGATCAGGTGTAAAACTAACAGTGATTCACTCTAGTGCAAACTGCAGTATGATACTTAAACTTTCTACTAAATAATTGTTCTATTATTAAAACATAAATGCAAGAATAGAATATTTTGATCTCTTCATTTTTAACTTTTACTTCAATCAAAATTCTGGTTTTAAATGTGTTTAAGATTAACTTAGAGGTTTTTTGTTCTATTTTCTAAGCATGATTAAAATAATTCAAAGGATTATAATATTAGGAGATTTTAAATTTCACAACCAATCAATAGATATCCGGTATTAAGATAGACCAATATAGGAAAAAATTTAGGAGATATAAAATTGGAAAGATCATTTTAAAAAATAGTTTATCATGAATTTAATCTTTGTAGTTTATAGATTTGTTTTTATATTTTATCATTTTTTTATTTATTATAATGCCGATAGTTTATCAGAATACATTGAAATTCTTTTATTGAAGTCTTTATAGGTTGATTAAAAATTATATATTTATCATTATATGAATAATCCTCATAAAATCATTCCTTTTAACCAGTCCATTAGTTTTACAAACACCTTCGAACAATATTTCTTCATTATTTATATTCTTTATTTTTTTGTGAATTTCTTTATTAACAGCAATCATTATTCTGGAATCTAAAAAAAAACGATGTCTTTTCAAGTCTCTTCAAACTTTTTCAATAGGATTAAGTTATGGGCAATAAGGAGGAATATAAAGATGACTGATTTAATTGATTATATGCTATTTGAGAAATTGTTCCTAATGTTTAGATGCATTATCTAAAATCAAAAAATACATTCCTCGACCCAATATTTGATTATAAAATTAATTAAAATGAGTAATTAAAGTTTTTCGTAATATGAGCTTTTACATTTGTTTTATATATTGAAAAAAAACCAAATCCTTGTCCAATAGCACTAATTATATTTATCCTTTTGATATTTGTAATAAAATTGGAATTCAATTTTATTCAATTTTGATCCATACCTTTTATCGATAATCATTCCCAATCCCACTTTCATCGATATAAATTGGGTATAACTTAATCTAAATCTAAAAATATAAAAAGACAAAAATCAAATACAATGAATTTTGCTTGTTATAATATATATCTATAATCAAATTTTTTAGATCAANGATATCCAGGATTAATTAGAATAAAATGTAAAAGTTGGAGAAGAAAATTTATTGTTCTTCATGTCCTAGCTATCAAATTTATTAATATCTTAATTAAAAGGCTCAAAGATCAGGTGTAAAACTAACAGTGATTCACTCTAGTGCAAACTGCAGTATGATACTTAAACTTTCTACTAAATAATTGTTCTATTATTAAAACATAAATGCAAGAATAGAATATTTTGATCTCTTCATTTTTAACTTTTACTTCAATCAAAATTCTGGTTTTAAATGTGTTTAAGATTAACTTAGAGGTTTTTTGTTCTATTTTCTAAGCATGATTAAAATAATTCAAAGGATTATAATATTAGGAGATTTTAAATTTCACAACCAATCAATAGATATCCGGTATTAAGATAGACCAATATAGGAAAAAATTTAGGAGATATAAAATTGGAAAGATCATTTTAAAAAATAGTTTATCATGAATTTAATCTTTGTAGTTTATAGATTTGTTTTTATATTTTATCATTTTTTTATTTATTATAATGCCGATAGTTTATCAGAATACATTGAAATTCTTTTATTGAAGTCTTTATAGGTTGATTAAAAATTATATATTTATCATTATATGAATAATCCTCATAAAATCATTCCTTTTAACCAGTCCATTAGTTTTACAAACACCTTCGAACAATATTTCTTCATTATTTATATTCTTTATTTTTTTGTGAATTTCTTTATTAACAGCAATCATTATTCTGGAATCTAAAAAAAAACGATGTCTTTTCAAGTCTCTTCAAACTTTTTCAATAGGATTAAGTTATGGGCAATAAGGAGGAATATAAAGATGACTGATTTAATTGATTATATGCTATTTGAGAAATTGTTCCTAATGTTTAGATGCATTATCTAAAATCAAAAAATACATTCCTCGACCCAATATTTGATTATAAAATTAATTAAAATGAGTAATTAAAGTTTTTCGTAATATGAGCTTTTACATTTGTTTTATATATTGAAAAAAAACCAAATCCTTGTCCAATAGCACTAATTATATTTATCCTTTTGATATTTGTAATAAAATTGGAATTCAATTTTATTCAATTTTGATCCATACCTTTTATCGATAATCATTCCCAATCCCACTTTCATCGATATAAATTGGGTATAACTTAATCTAAATCTAAAAATATAAAAAGACAAAAATCAAATACAATGAATTTTGCTTGTTATAATATATATCTATAATCAAATTTTTTAGATCAAACTGATTTTATCTAAAAAATTGTATAAATTTGATCTTTTGAAATTTATTTTTTTTAAATAGCAATAGGTTACACAACTATACTATTTAATCAATTCAAGAAATAATTATAAATTCAAGGATTGATGCTGACTTAATTCGAAATCCTATATTAATAATATCAATATTAGAATATCAAAATATAGAGGCACTGTTGAACTCATAATTGACCTTTAAACTGTTTGGTATGTATCAATTACCAATTAAAGAAACTTTTGGAGTCATTGCAAAATATTTTTATGAGTTTTGATTATTTCCCGCATTATTTGGGCTTAACTTAATGCTAAATCTTAATTATAATGTGTTGGACTATAAAGAGCAATATTTCCCACTGGAGATAGTATTAATTGTCTGAGTATAAAATTTTTCAATTATAAATTAATCAAAGGAGGAAAAAATTAAATAAGTTTTTTTCACTTGAATCTTGATCCTAAAAAATTTAATTGATTATCTATTTATATGTTCAAATAAATTTAATTCATATCAAAATTCTTTTTAAGGAAATACTTTTTTTAAATAGGGAGCAATAAATGCTAAAAAATCTCGAATGCCTCTTAAAGATTATTAGGTATAAATTTAGTTTATGCCACATTTTTCTATTGGATTGGTTATGGAGGATAGAAAGGCAAAGATATTTGTATTAACTGTCATTAAAAATTTATATACCTTCTTACTTTTGTGAATAAGGCTATTATGAAATGTCAGAACAAATTTCTGATCTTAATAATAATGATAAAGCTCTTTAATCAGCTTTAACCACTAATAAATTTTCTTCTCCAACTTTTACATTTTATTCTAATTAATCCTGGATATCATATTGTCACTTCTATATTTTTTCTTAACCCATAGTAAAGAAGTCAAATTTTGGATTAGCTTCCCAATGAGAACGCATTTGTTGTCTTCCAAGATTGAATTTTTTTGTTTAGCCTTGCTTCATGTGTTTAGGATAAAAATACAATCTTAAAATTTCATACTAATCCTCATAATCACTCATCTTAAGTGATTTAAATCTTTGGAATAAAATCAGTTAATCCAATTATGTTAATCTGGATTATTAATATTATTATATTTACAATAATTTTGGGTTTCTTTAAATTATCATAAGATTTTAAGATTTCAAGAATTTTTATTTATCACCTATATTAATAGAACTTCTAATTCATTCTGAAATTCAGTCAATAGTTTAGGCGAGTCAATTTCATTTGATGAAAATAAATGATTATACTAAAAATTATTCAGAATATATTTTTTTCTTAAATTAAATTAGTGATTTTAATGTCTTCTTTAATTAATTATGTTATAATATTAAATACTAGGACGATTAGTAAATAATTTGAGATTTAATCGTATTTTTGTACAAATGCAAGTATCATCTTTGTATTAGCACAATAATACATAACTTTACAATAAAATTTCTATTGAGAAACATTAATTATATTGATATACTTAAATGTTAAAATAATTTCATGTTTACTTAGAATGAATAGAATTAGTAAATTAAATCAATCTATTAATCTTAGAAACTAAATCTATAAATTATGGAATATAATGGGAGCTTTTCTCAATTATTTAAATGTTCTTAAAAGGAACTTTTGAATTTTTATGATTTAAGGTTAACTTTTAAATGATATTCTCAATTTTTTCAACATCTAGAGGATAATCTGAACTTAATCAATTAATGAAAGAATATATAATATAAGAATATTCTAATCGAACAATTTAAATTAAGATTTGATAAATTCTCTATTTTACAAAGATTCTCATAGAAAGAGGGTGAGGAATACAAAATTTAGGAAATTTAATAAAAGAGTAAAAAAGTGTTGGAAAAAAAAATTTGGAAAACTTAAATTAAATTTATTTAATATCTAATTTTACTTTTTAAATCAATCATATTTGAGCACAAAAAAAATTGATTTGAATAAATGAATGATTTGATAGTTTATAGCGTTTAGGTAATATTTAGGTTTAAATGCGATGAATGTATCAAAAACAAAAATTTTAATTGATAATCCACTTATTTAATGAAATTAATTCACCAAAATATTTAATATTATATAAAATGATTAAATTGATTACAACACTAATAATTAATATTATTGGTTTGAAACCTTCTTAACTTTGTGTATCCCTTGACTAACCTTACTTGTACTAGAAAAATTAATATCTATTAATTAAATCCCTTCTTCATATCTTCAAATTTTTTTTTTGAAAACATTAATATGAATTTTTAAAAGTCCTCTATGATTTCATTAGTTCTTGTTTGTTTGACTCTATAATAAGCAATAGCTTAATGTAATGGTGATAAAACAAATTGTGATGCAGAATCAGGTTGTGGTTGGTGGCCTGGAGGTTCAAGTTGCTATAAATGTTCAGATTGGGGATCAGAAGGAGATTGCATGGATATGTGTGGTTGGTATAATTTAGCTTGTATATATTGTCCCAGTGTACCAACTGCATCATGCATTCAATCAGGATGTGGTCTTTCCACAAGTTTATAGTGTGTAAATTGTGGTGGAATAGATAGCTCCTCTTGTAATAACTATATTGGATGTCTTGATGATTGCTATCCAATTCGATCTAGGTCATAATCAAGATGTGTTTAACCCTATGAATGGATTGATTCAAAATGTACAATTTAGATGTGTACCTCTTCAAAAAAATCAAATTGCATATGTGGAACGTCTACCATAGTTGTATGTAGTTCAACCTAGGTTTGTGTTGATATATCAGCTTCAGCCGGAGTATGTGAATAAAAATGTACTACAAATTTAAATTCCAATTCATGTCGATGCGGAGGAGATTCAGTAGAATGCAACTCCACGACTTATTGTGTAGATATTGCAGCTACATCAGGATAATGCAAATAAACTTGTTCTGGATCAACATTATCAGATTGTATTTGTGGATCTTCAAGTAAATCTTATTGTGATTCAACTAAATAATGTTAAAGTGATTCATGTGTGACTCTAGCGACCATTTGTTCATCTGCTTTTGAAGCAAGTTGTTCATGTGGTAGCTCAACAAAATAAAGCTGTACTTCAACTACTTTTTGTGTTGATCCAAGTGCTTCCGCTGGAGTATGTAAATAAGCTTGTTCTGGATCTACAACATCTGATTGTATATGTGGAACTTCAAGTAAATCTTATTGTGATTCAACGAAATAATGCTAGAGTAATTCATGTGTGACTCCATTGGCAAATTGTTCATCTGCTTTTGAAGCAAGTTGTTCATGTGGAAGCTCAACAAAATAAAGCTGTACTTCAACTACTTTTTGTGTTGATCCAAGTGCTTCAGCTGGAGTATGTAAATAAGCTTGTTCTGGATCTACAACATCTGATTGTATTTGTGGTACTTCAAGTAAATCTTATTGTGATCCAACTAAATAATGCTAGAGTGATGCATGTGTAGCAATTATAAATTGTTCATCAATCAATTAAAGCAATTGTGCTTGTGGAACCTCAATAAAATAATAATGTAGTTCCAATACTTATTGCAAAGATCCAAGTGCAGCAAATGGAATTTGTGTTAATAAATGCTAAGGTTCAACATCAAATGATTGTATCTGTGGATCTACAACTCTATCATATTGTAATTCAACACAGAGATGCGAAGATCAAATGGCAAGTTCAGGTAATTGTTTGAATATATGTACTACAAATTTTTAAAGTAATTGCTCTTGTGGATAAAATCAATTTAGCAATTGTAATAATTCTAAATATTGTTTGAATGCTTTAGCTACTTCTGGATAATGTTATGATAATTGTACAAATAATATTAAATCATCTTGTATTTGTGGAACAATTACAAAATAAGGTTGTTCTAATTAATAAACATGTGAAGATCCAAATGCAAGTACTGGTAATTGTATAACAATACCAAATTGTATTAATAATTTTGATAATTCTTGTTAATGTGGAACAACTTAGATTTCTGTTTGTTCTGAATCTACTTATTGTACTAATGTAAGTGATTCAAATGGAGTTTGCTTATAATATTGTAATCAAAATTAAAAATCTAATTGTATTTGTGGTTCAATTAATAAAATAGCCTGTTCTCAAACTTAAGTATGTTAGAATCCTAATGATTAAAATGGTAATTGTATAGAAAAATGTCAAAATAATTTATAAACAAATTGTTTATGTGGTAATTCAGTAACTCCTTTTTGTAGTGTAAATGAACATTGCCTAGATGTTAAATAACTTACAGGTACTTGTGTATAATAATGTAATTAATTCTAAAATAATTGTGTTTGTGGAACATCATTATATTCATATTGTTCATCTACAACATATTGTTCATCAAAACAATAAGGAATTTGTTTAGAATACTGTTCTAGTTATTAATAATCAAATTGTATATGTGGAAATAAGGTGAAATAGGTTTGTTCAAATGGTGAAAAATGTGTTGATCCATATGCAGATAATGGAATTTGTAATTTAGGTATTTGTACATCATAATTTTAATCAAATTGTACTTGTGGTACCACTAATCAAGCACATTGCAAATAGAATTAATATTGCTTAGATTCTGGAGCACTTAATGGTATATGTTTTGAAAAATGTCAATAAAATTAAAATAATTGTTTATGTGGAATAGATTCTATTGACATATGTTTTTCATCTACATATTGTTTACTATAATCCAAAGGTGTTTGTATGTAATAATGTACTTCTGTAAATAATCAAAATTGTTTGATATTATCTGAAAACTAAGCTTGCCTTGATTAATTTAATACTGTGTATAATGATGTGACTGGAATATGCATACCAACTTGCAAAGAAAATGGTGAAACAAATTGTTATTGTGGAAGTACAGAAAAAAGTGTAGATCAGAAATTAATTTGCTAATCTGGTTTTGAATGCTAAAATCTTGAAACACAATCAAGAGTTTGTGTTTAAAAATGTACAAGCAACAAGACATCAAATTGTTATTGCGGATAAGAAAAGTCCCAATATTGTAATGAAGATTAAACATGTTAAGATCAAAATTAACAAGTAGGTTTATGTAAATAGTCTTTGAATGTTTAAACAGCTGATTATTCCAGAATTATTAATCTAAGGCTATTTGCAATAATCTGCCTATTCAATATAGCATGAGATTATATGAATCAATTATAAAATATTAAATATAAAACATTTATTTATTAATAATATTTAAAAGAAGTCTCAAATTGAGTTCGAAAATGTATATCAAAGACTGAAATCAAAATTGGAAAATCTGTTAATAATATTCTCTCATTTTATAAAGTTGATTGTAAATCTGATTATTACACCATAATAATGTTTTTAAAAAAATATATATTATATTAGTAGTAGTGATTTAATCAAACTCATCAAAACTTATCAGCGATTTAAAATCTTAAGATATCTAATTAATTCAATGATTAATTATCTTTATTAAATAAATTTATTGTATTATTTATGTAAATATGAGCACTTAAATCAAATTAATTTTTTAAGCATTATCAGATTACATTTTCTATTTTTCTTTAATTACTTTCTTTATAAAACTGGCTCTCTCTTCAATCTGCATCTTTCTTTTGAATAATCAACTCCAACCTGGAAAAAACTAGTTCATTTTTATATAATTAATAATCAGGTGTTTAATTATCTTAG